TTAATAAAACTATTTGTTTCTTAATTCTCAGTTTGATTTCCAAGGGTATGAGAAGATCAAAGCTGAAAGAAGAAAAAAAAAACACTCCCTTTCCCCCTGTCTCCAAGGCAGTGCCTTTGCTTTTCCCCCCTCAAGGATGGCATAAAAAAAAAAAGCAAAAAATAAAAAAGAAAAAATAAAAAAAAAAAAGGAAAAAGAAAAAGAAAAAGCCAGCACATCAAACTCTAAGATGTGGCCATCTGAGAGGAAATGCTACACTGCCCATCATTGTTGGGTGGGCACAGTGGAGAGGTATCTGGAAGGAAATCAGTGCAGAAGCACTGTCCTAAACTACAGGAAAGTTTCTGGTTTAGAAAACATACCTGCCCAAGTTTATACACTGTATTTACTGCATACACATTTATTGCATATACCCACCAGTAGACTTATACAGTACACATATACATTAAAGCCACATTTTCTCCAGGGGAGAAAGATAGGAGGAGAGAAAATTAAAAATAAAAGTGAAATCTTGCTCCTAACAAATAGCCAGAAGTTTTTTCTGAGCAACCAATGGGGCCAGACCTCTCCTGAAGCACAGGCAGAACATGCTTCAGTTTTAAACTTGCTGAATTTTAAATTCGCATTACTTAACACTTGAAAATACACATATCCCTATTACTATTCTGACCTAACAGTTATTCAGCACCCTTTGAGATCTCTGATGGAAATAAATGCCAGACACGTTTTGTTGACCAGCTGCTGTCAATGACCATTGTGTCACATTCTGCTCTGGGTTACACCTATGCAGTGTAATTCAATTAGGATTTAAAGCAACACAGTCATTGGGGAAGTATACAAGCTTGTGCAAGAGAATATGACCAGGCCAGGTTTTCCAAAGGCTGTCAATCATAACACTTTGTATTAGCATGGGACAATGTAACATGGGTACTTAATGTCTTTTACAAGTCCATTGGTCCCTCTGCAGTTGTTTTAACTTCGCTGATATGCTGCTTCAATGAGGTAAGAGATCTACGGTTATTCTTAGACCATGGCAGCAAGCATAAAGTGGTTTGTTGGCAGGTTTTATACTCCCCTCTATAATGAGAGCTGGTCACTTAATTTGCTTTCCTGTTAGATGAGCAATGGGAAAACACAAAGCCAGAGCACAAACGAGCTCCTTACACGAAGGAAAAACAAAAACAAAAAACCCACTTGTGATTGTCACAGGTTGGTTCCTCCCCTGCCCCACTCCAGCAGTTGGTTTACCTTGGTCAGATTCGAGTTTTCCATCTTTGCTTTTGAAATCATTTTTCTCTGTTGTCATCACACAGAGAAGCTTTTTAAGGCTTCTGCTGCTGGGGCTGTAAGGCAGAGGAGGATGGGCAAGAATAAAATAATACTACTACACACTGTCTGAGAAGACAAAGGCAACTTTTCTTGTTTCAAAAGCTGTTGAAATGTTTTGGCACAGATGTTTGAATTTTTCATTTTTGGTTCATTTGTAGATTTAATTTAACTTGGAAAAGCAGCTTACCTCCAAACCTAAACATTTCATTCTTGGTAAAATAATACTTCTCATTTGAATGCAAATGAATTTCCTACTTCCTATTTTTAGGTCCCAGTAGCAAACTAAAGCACACATACACACAAAAACAGCAAGACTCAAGGCTGTTTTCACTATGAGCTGCACGGTGAAGGAAGGCAAATTCTTCCAGTAAGACAGAAACACACCAGTGCTTCTGCAACCATTTCACCATGCCTCACTGTTGGGTTTGATGAGGCCGTGGCAGCGAGGCCCAGGGCTGCGAGCCCACCAGGAGCCACATTATGAAGTTCTCCCACCGCTGCATTTAATAGCAGCTTTGGCATTAGCCTCGAGCAGAGCAGGAGGAGCGATCTCATCCCTGTTTTTTCTTCCTTCCCTTCACAAAGCTGGAAAAGCACATCCACAAGAAGGGAGGCCTGCAGGCTTCAATAGCTGTGTAGTATCAGCATCTGTTGTGAAGATGTCTTGGGTGGAAGATGGCGGGGGGGAGAAAGGAGGAGAAAACATAACTTTTCGTATCCCATATGAGCAGGTTGAACAGCAGCTTCAGACACAACAGCTTTTAAGGCCAGTGTGAGAGTAAAGTACCTTTTTTTTTTTTTTTTTTTTCCTTCTCATAAAGGTGAGACTTCAGCCTGTTTGATAAATGTTACTGTACTTTCTGGACTAAGAAACACAGAAAAGCTTTCCTTCTGATGGGCTTATATGAAAATGCAAAGCTTGCATTTATGACCCAAACTGTCTATATTAAAGGAAGTAGCAAACACACAGAGATACAGAGGAATTGTTAAATCCCTCTCTAAAATGACACAGACAAAGCCCCCAATAGTGTCTTTTTGGAGTGTTAGTTTGCACGGGCCTGCTATTTACATTAAAAATAAATCAGGGCCCTTCTTTGTAACTTGAGCCTGATAAGGTGCACTACACACACATCTATAGATCAGCCCAGCCTTTGAAAACAGCACAGAATTTTTACACTGCCTAAAGGCTCAGGCCTCTAAACCTGAACACACGCGGGGCCACGCGGCTGCGCTGAGGCACCGCAGGTTCGAGCTGTAACTCAAGCCCGTGGCCGCGGCCCTCAGGTTCGCCGGTCAGATTCCCCCCACAACGCGACACCGCACCACGAAAACAGCAACAGGGCCGCCAGGCTGACAGGCAGCACCAAACATGGAGAATGTGGCACCGCATCACGGGGACACAAACTTGGCCAGCAAGGCTAGCAACCAGTGTTTACAAACATAAAACAGAGGATCAGATGGGCTGGCAATAAATTAGGACTGGACTGCAGCGAGCAAGAGAAACCACTCAAAGCTTAAAAAAAAAAAAAAAAAAAAAGGGTAAGGAGGGCTCATAAGCTATTGCCAGCTTTACTGCAGTCCCTGGACCCAGACATGTGTATACACACACACAGACACCCCACATCAGCTGCAGTGCTATTGAAGCACGATGGAAAAAATCCCACCTGACAAGTGAAACTAAGTAACGAGCGCTTCTAGCACCACTCCCAAGGCTCAGGAACCGAAGTAGAGGCTTTTGCAACGCTGCTTTTACCATATGCTTAACTCTATTCGACCCAAATTCAAAGACAGGAGAAGAGTTCAGGTGAAAATGGGAATACTGTCATCTTCTCTCACTACCTGCTTCCTCAGACAAGGTTGGCTCTGGCCCAGCCAATTACTACATCCAAAAAGCAAAGGACTGTGGATTCCCTTGCCTTCTAGTACAGTTTCACCTCTGTTGGCAGAACAGGTTTGGGAAGAAGAACTCCACTCAGCAGCTCTTTGAGGTCGATGCTAGCATTTCTCTATCATCTAAAACAAGAATTGCCCAAGTAACGCCACAAGCACTCAGTTAAACCAAGGGGATCACAATAGGCACTGGGAGGTGGGAGAAGACACTGCCTACAAGACAAGATGCCCACGTGGTTGCCCATCACCGGCCCTAGGCCCAGAAGCCAGCCCAGCGCTGCCCAGTTACTACTGCATGGCTCTACCTCAGCTACTACCTTCGACTTCGACAGGAGCTTCGGAAGATGTTTTCAGAGAAACACTAAGGAAAAAAATACTCTCAGCATCCCACTTTTAGGAGATTAGAAATATTTCCAGACTGCAGCTTACAAACCACATATCCAGTTGCAAGGGCTTAAAGAGAATGCCTTTATCACCAGAAACACTGAGCTACAGCAGAAACTTTACGAAGAAAATCTTCTCCCTTTTGTACAGCTTAAGGACACCATCATGACCCGAAAGCATACTGGGAACCAGCAGCAAGCGTCAAAGCACAGTAACTATTTACTTGCTATGCTTTACCTGCACAAGAAAGCCCAGTGCAGTTTTAAGCTTCCACAAGTCAGACATACTCAGAGGAAGGATCTCACAGGACCCATAATTTAGCCCACTTTATTTCATTCAGACTCTTCTAGGAGTTATCAGAGCAGTGAAGTCTGCTGCCATATTCTGTACGCTGAAAGAAGCAACTTCGAAAGGGAAAAAAAAGAAAAACAAAAAAGCGAATTAAATACATGCAACGAGTTAAACAACAGATCCTTCCGCACTTCTCAGTACCATTACCAACCTCTATCCTGTGTGTCTGAACGGCATAAAAACCCAGGGAGATTTAATCTAAAGAGCAGCGCTGTTATAAATAGGAGCTACAGAATAAAATAAAAGAGGGAAATGTCCTTGGATGCTGCTCATGAAAGGACTCCCCTAAGTGATAGGGCTCCGTTTCTCCTAGAACATTAAGAGAGAGATCAAACAACACAGAGTCAGTGGCTTTTAAAGGAAAATTATATATAAACAAATACTTATTCAAGAATACACATACATACAACCTTTTCAGAACTCTTTTTGGCAAAAATGTCAGCAACCATCCACACTCTGAACCTGCTACACCAGAATAAGGCGCGACTGCTCCAGTTTCACTGACTGGTCCTCACAACTCATGCAGGACCAGTCCATGATGCAATGCCATAGACCAGCTGGCTTCCCTTGTCTTTCCTCCTTGCTACTTTTACCCTCCTATTGCCTATCTCCAACACCTATGAGTTCAGTTTTACATGGACAAAAATAATTCAGCCCTAGGCTGCTAAATAAAGGTCAGTCTGATGATCTAAAAGGGCCTGGGGAAAAGTAGTACACCCTCCTGGACCTATGCCCCTCGGGCTATAAATACTTAGAGCATACACTTAGGGAAATTCTTTGTCTATACAGACAGACACTAGGAAGCGTGTCTCCTCCCTTTTCCAATTCCCACCCTTCAGCACTCAAGGACAACGGTCAGAAACAAGGCACTATCCCTCAGAACCCAGCTACCAGCTCTGTGTTGATTACCTATGTTTGCTTTGCCATCCATGACCCCAGGCACACATCCTAGAAATAAACAGCCACATGGAAAGCTCTGCCTCAAGCCTTGCTTAAGGCTGAAGCGATGCACAGCAAAGCAAACCATGAGATTACATGGGGATTACCTTTTAGGACTAGGGGTTCCTTGCCTTCTCGCTTGAGGGACTCCAGCACTATGTGGAGCGGCTGGGAAGGCATTACTCTGCTTGGCTCATTGGTATTCTCATCATAAACTATGATTTCTTTGGAAAAGATCCTCTTGAATGAGTCCTTGCCTTCCCGACAGGAGATCAAGTCCAAGACAGTGATCTTGCCCTGCTGGAGCCTTCTGCGGCTGATCTTGTCAGAACAGTTAATGTGAACAGCCCCTTGAATGTGGCTCTTATTATACTCCATGAAAGGCCTGCAGTCAATGATGACTGGCCCTTGGCTCTGTTGGTGGCTCTTGCTGCATTTGGTCATCTTCTTTGCCAGATCATTGGGGTAGATGATTTTTATGCTAGCTAGTTGCTTGGTTGTGCCCGAGACTGGGCTCCCCACTCCACCCAGCGGGCTCAGGCTGCCGGTGTTCTCATTGCTGTTGACCATCTGGTTGGCAGGACAGGCAGGAGCGGCTCCAGCGTGGGTGCTGCTGGTGCTCGCTTGAGTTTGGGTCTGAGTGTCCTTGTCGTACGTTGCCACAGTGCAACAACTGGCACTACTGCATCCACAACTCAGGGAGCGTGCAGAGCCGTTAGATGAGGGCATATACGTGAGATTAGCAGTCTTGAGGGACACGACAGTGGTGCCGAGCAGACTGGAGTGGCTCTCGCTGGCAGAAGAGACAGATTCAAGATAGCTGGAGTCTAAACAAAGGTTGAGATCCTGAGGTCTCACTGGCCTTGAAAGTGCCACTACTACCCTGTCGTCTAAAGGAGACGGAGGCATGAGGAGGCTGAGCACTAGCCAATCAAGAAGAACTCAAGATCTACCTGCAAGAAAACAAAAAAGGAAAGGGGAGGAGGGGAGGAGAGAGGGAAGAGGAGAGAAAGGTGATGAAAAGAGATCATGGGATCACACAAGTCTTCAGATATCACAAACCAATTACCAATATTTGTAATCTATTGTAATAATTATCAGCTCACTGCAGTTTGCTAAAAATAAATTTTTAAAAAATCTTTCCCAATCCTGCAGTGAATATTGCAGCTATTTGCATGAATACAAACGCCACACAAAATGTAGAACTAGCTTAGGCTGTGCAGCTACACCCGGGAGGAGGCATTTGTCTACATGCAGATGGTGCTGAGCTATTCTGAACCACCGCTGCAAGGCATGCAGCTGATAACGATAAAGAGGCATGTTCTCTTGTTTCCCTCGCAGTAAGCAAAGGAAACAACTACTGGCCTGACTCTACAGCTGCGAGGAATGCACAGCAGCTGAATGTGTCAGCAGTGATACACAACTTTTCCAGCAAGCCGGAATAAAATTATCTTTTGAATATATTCTCAGAGACAGTTGCACACTTAACTACATAGAGCTAAACAAGACAAAAAAAAAAAAAGAGGGAAAACAAGAAAATTAGGAATTAGGTTTTGCAGATCTCAACAGAATGCAAGTGCACGCCTTGAATTGGCATCTTCAAGCCCTTACAGATTTTTAAGTCCTTACCCCGTTTCAGCCAAAGCCCTCGGCTAAGAGTCGCCTTCTCCACAGCCCCGGAGGCCGGAGCTCCCCACGCCTGAGACGCTTCAGGGCTTCTCTGAATAGGGTGCTGTGCTATCCCCAGCATCGCGCTCCCCACAGCCCCTGGCCTTGCCACTTGCAAGGACACAGGGCGACAGCCTCCCCTTCCACTTAAAAGCGTCGGGACCGGCGGGACCCC